AAACTCTTTTGCGTTTTCACATACATATACACATACACATACATATAAACAAACAAACAAGCAAGGAAATAAACAAGCAAAAAATAAACAAGGAAATAAACAGAAATAAACAAACAAACAAAAAATAAACAACACAACAAAAAGGAATTAAACAAACAAAAAAAACAAGGAAATAAACAAACAAACAATAAATAAACAAACAAACAAAAAGGAAATAAAAACATAAAACAAACAAGGAAATAAACAAACAAACAAAAATAAACAAACACAAACAAACAAGGAATAAACAACAAAAAAACAAGGAAAAAACAACAAAAACAACAAAAAAAAACAAAAAAAAGGAAATAAACAAACAAACAAAAATAAAAAACAAATAAAAACACAAACAAAAACTAAACAAACAAAACAAGGAATAAACAAACAAACAAAAACATAAACCAAACATAAAAACATAAAACAAACACAAGAAATAAAAAACATACACAAACAAAATAATAAACACACATAAACAAACAAACAAACATGAACACACACACAAATCCCAAAACCACAAAACACAAACACACCAAAGCCACCACGCACAAACACACACTCGTGGCCGCGATTCAAGGCGACAAAGAGGATAGAAATAGACAAATATAGACAAATAGACAAAAAAATAGACAAAAATAGACAAATAGATAGATGAGTCAGTAACTTAATAGATAAATAGGTAGATAAAAAAAATTAATAAGTGAATAGGTAAATTAATGAATTAATTATTGAATAGGTAAATAGATTAATTAATTACTGAATAGGTAAACAGATGATTTAATTACTGAATAGGTAAATAGATGAATTAATTACTGAATATATAAATAAATAAATAAATAAATAAATTAGTGAAGAGGAAAATAAATAAACTGATTTGTGAATAGATAGATAGAAAAGTGAATATTTAAGTATGTAGATAGATAGATGAATGAATAAGGAAATGTAGTAGATAAATAGATAATCAAATAGATGAGTGAATAAATAAGTTAATGAATTATTTGATTAATAGATTAATAGATGAATAATAAAGGAATAGAAGATAAAGAAAGGAATAGAAAATAATAAAAGGAATAGATAAATAAATAAAAAGGTAAATGAAGAGATAAATAGATAAATAAATAACCTGATAATAATAAACAAACAAAACAAAACAAAAACACATACACAGATAAATACACAAACAAGAAAACACGAAGCGAAATGAAACAAAATAACCCCCAAAAAATATATATATATATACAGTTCATCCATGGCAGCTTCCGTGACGCAAAAGGGAGGCTTAAATCAAGCTCTAATTCCTCATGGGCGGGGATCTGGCGGGGTTAATTAAAGACGGGGAGGAGGCATCATGCACCAGAGAGGAAAACCCGGATTTGCTGAAGGTCGAAGGCAGGTTGGGGGTCGAGAGGTGGGGTGGCTGGGGGTGGAAATGTTTGAGGAGGGAGATGAGAGAGAGATGGGAGGGGGAGGGGAGGGAGTGGGGGGGGGGTAGGGGGAGGGGAAGAAGGAGGGGAGAGAGAGGTGGGGTGGCTTGGGTGGAAATGTGAGAGAGAGAGATATGGGAGGGAAGAGAGGGAGGGAGCGGGGGAAGGGAGTGAGTGAGGAAGGGAAGGAGGGGTGTAGAGAGGGGGGGGGGGGGAGAAGGTGGGGGGAAAGTTTGAGAGAGAGAGGGAAGAGAGGGAGGAGTGAGGGAGTGAGAAAGGGAAGGAGGGGTGTAGAGAGAGGGGGGAGAGAGGGAGGTGGCTCGGTGGAAATGTTCTTTGAGCTGCGGTGAGAGAGAGAGTGGGAGTGGGGGAGGGAGTGAGGGAAGGAAGGAGGGATAGGGGGATGATGGAGAGAGAGAGAGAGAGGATAAAGAGAGAGAGGGGGGGGATAGAGAGAGAGAGAAAGAGAGAGAGAGAGAGAGAGAGAGAGAGAGAGAGAGAGGAGAGAGAGGAGAGAGAGAGAGAGAGAGGTAGGAGAGGAAGGAGGAGAGAGAGAGGGGGGAAGAGAGTGAGAGTGAGAGAGAGAGAGAGAGAGAGAGAGGAGAGAGAGAGAGAGAGAGAGAGAGAGAGAGAGAGAGAGAGAGAGAGAGAGAGAGGAGAGAGAGAGAGGCGAAATACACGTACATACGTATATATATATATATATAAATATATATATATATATATATATATATATATATATATATAATATATATATATATACACACACACACACACACACACACACACACACACACACATATATATATGCGTGTGTGTGTGTGTGTGTGTGTGTGTGTGTGTGTGTGTGTGTGTGTGTGTGTGTGTGTGTGTGTGTGTGTGTGTGTGTGTGTGTGTGTGTGTGTTGTGTGTGTGTGTGTGTGTGTGTGTGTGTACGCGAACACGTAGACCATCGTATTGACGCCATTCCTAGACCATCATCAATCTCCCTTATCTCCTCAATCACTTCCACCCCCTCCCCCCCCCATGCCTTATCTATCTATAGAGCTATCTACTTTATGAGATTCCCCTTTATTTTTTTTTTCTTCTTTTTTTGGGGGGTGGGTGGCGGGGGATGGCGGGGGGGGGGGGGAGCCCTAACAACCACCCCGAATAGGTTATTACAATACACGTCGTTCTGTGTTATTATCATCATTTCTTGAACGAGTCAATTGCAGGTTTCCGTCGAAGCCTAATCTCTATCTCGATATATTGCATCTCTTGTCTTATCTATTATGAAAAAGAGACATTTTTCCTCTCCTATCTTATCTCTCTCATCATGGATCCGCCGTCGATGTAATAACTATTTTGTCGCATAAAAAGACAAAGATACGATAATGAGAATGATGATAACGATGGGGATATTGTTGATGATGATAGTTACGATAAAGATAATGATGATAATAATAATGGTGATAATAATGATTATCATGATTAACTTCATCATCATCATATTAACGATAATGATGATAATAATGATAGTAAGGATAATAACAATAATAGTGATAATAGTAGTAATGATAATAATAATAATGATAATAATAAAGATAGTAATAATAATGATGATAATGATAATAATGAGGATGAGGATGATGATAATAACTGTAGTAAAAATAATGATAATATATAGATAATAACAATAGTTGCGGTAGTAGTAGTAATAGTAATAATGACAATGATCATATTATAATAATAATGATAATGATAATCATGAATATGATGATAATCATGATAATGATAATGGTGATGATGACAATAACAATGATGATGATAATGATAATGAGAATAATAATAATGATAATAATGATAATGATGATAATCATGATAATGATAATGGTGATGATGACAATAACAATGATGATGATAATGATAATGAGAATAATAATAATGATAATAATAACAAAATTAATAATGATGTTCCAGTTTCAAAAAATAAATCGCGTAAAGAAACGACAAAAGCAAAGTAACTCTTTGTACCCTGGGGGGGAAGGGGAGTGAGAAAAAAAAAGAACATGGCAACCTCAGTCTTAAAGGAATTAAACAATTAGCGATTCTTCTTCGAAACTCGGAGGAGAAAGTAGGTGAAGACTTTTTCTTTGACAAGTCTTTCTTTTCTCTCTCTCTCTCTCTCTAATCTCTCTCTCTCTCTCTCTCTCTTCTCTCTCTCTCTCTCTCTCTCTCTCTCTCTCTCTCTCTCTCTCTCTCTCTCTCTCTCTCTCTCTCTCTCTCTCTCTCTCTCTCTCTCTCTCTCTATTGATTCCATTCCATTTCTGTTTCTTTTATTCATTATTTTGTATTTGTTTATTGATATTTTTGTTTCATTGCTCGCGGTTTCTGTCTCTCTTTCATTGATTTCATTCCATTTCTGTTTCTTTTTTCATTATCTTTTTTAAATTTTATTTGTTTGTTTACCTTTCCGTTTCCTTGTTCGGGGAAGGGGGTGTGGGGTAAGGGGAAGGAGGTGGGGTGTGTGGTACGGAGATTTCAAAGGTATTATTAACCCTTGGGTGGGAGTTCGGGGGGGGGATAATGTTTTGTTGTTGCTGTTGTTGTTTTGGGGGGGCTGGAGGTATGAGGAGAGGATAGGGGGAGGGATTAAGCCAGTCGCCATTTTTTTCTGCACGTGTCAAGATTCACTCGTTCGTGTCAGTTATGATTATGTGCTTAAAGACATATATGCGTTTTATGCATAAACACACACATACATCCACATAAACAAACAAACACACAAACAAACTCATACACAAACAAAAATAAAAACACAGACATCAACAAACATGCACACATAAACACAAAAACAAGCACACACACACAAGCACAATCCCCAAACCACACACACACAATCCCTAAACCATACAACCACACACACACAAACCCCAAAACCACGACCACAAACACACCAAAGCCACCACGCACATACACACAAACTCGTCGCCGCGATTCGGGCCGACAAAGAGGATCAACGGACCCAAAAATCTCGCTAAGCGGCTGAGAGTCTAAGGGAAACAACAATTTCCGGTCGTAAGCTGCTTAAATACCCTCGCTTGGCTGTGATCCGCATAATGGAATCATGCTTGCGCGGCGCCGGACTTCAAGCGGTGCGATTATCCGGCGGCGAGTCTCCGGGCCGGAGAGGTGGATCAGCTGAGGTGCCTGTGGAGTGGCACCTCTGCCTGTCTCTCCTTCTCTGCGTCCGGCTGTTTGTCTGTCTGAACTCTCTGTTTCTGTTTGCCTCTCTCTCTCTCTCTCTCTCTCTCTCTCTCTCTCTCTCTCTCTCTCTCTCTCTCTCTCTCTCTCTCTCTCTCTCTCTCTCTCTCTCTCTCTCTCTCTCTCTCTCTCTCTCTGCCCTAGGTCTGTCTTTCGTTGTGCTTCTGTTTCTGTTTTTTTCCTTGTGTTCATGTCTCCGTTTTCTTTCTTTCTACATACATGCGTATATATGTATATATGAATATATATATATACATATATATATATATATATATATATATAGATATATATATATATATATATAATATATATATATATATATGTATATATATATATATATGTATATATATATATATATATATATGTATATATATATATATATATATATATATATATATATATATATATATATTATATATATACGTATGTACAGACACACACACACACACACTCTCACATATATATATATACATATACATATATAATATTCATATATATTATATATATATATATATATTATATATATATATATATGTATATGTACATACACACACACACACGCATATATACATATATATATATATATATATATATATATATATATATATATATATATATATATATATATATATATATATATATATATATCACGAGTTACCAGACTAGAGCCACGGGTTCGAGCGAAGGGCAACGCCATAGCGACCAAAATCACGTGCCGCGGTGACCCTCCCCGCCGCCTTCCTTTGCGAAGCCTCATCCCCCCCCCGCCCCCCCTCGTTGCGTGCGAATTCTCCTCCGCCGCGTGACGTCATTCCGAACGGAGCGTCGATGCCATAACGACTGAGCCACAAACGAGCTGAGCGCGTCTCCGCGATCGGCTCATTAGGCGAATCGGCGTTTCCATGGAGATCCCCGGGGCCGCAGGTGTCCTTCGCCGTCGCGCTGAGGAACTTGGGCGCCGGGAGACACCTCCTCCTCCGCCGGGGACTCCGGACGGCGCCACCTCGCCCGCCCCCTCGAGAGCCTGGCGAGTGAGAAAATTCAATTTGCGAGTGGATAATTCTGTTTTCTTTTTCTTCCTTTTCTTTTTCTTCTCTTCCCCGGCTTGAGTTTTATCTTCTTTTTTCCTTCCTTGAGTTTTATTTCTCCTTTTTCGTTCTTATTTTCCGTTTATCCCTTGTTCTTCAGCCCTTCTGTGCCCCCCACTGTCGACCGAAACGACGCAATGCGCATTCGAAGGGACCAGAAACGACCTCTGAGAGTATTGACACTTTCGGAATATATTTGTTTGCTTGAAACTTTGGCCGTTAATACGGTAGTTTGGCTAAGTTAAACGAGAAACTTGGCCTTTAAAAGGAAATACGAATTTCGACTCAGGAAGGCCTCGGGCGTCCCTAACGACCCCCGTTTGGCTACGTGCCCTTCGGTGTCGAGATTTGTCTACGCTGAAGGAGGCCCGTAAACACCGAGCATAAATTTGGCGGCGTTGGCGTTTATCACACGCGGAGCGGATGTTGGCGGAAAGGGCGACGCGCCAGAAATCTAATCGCTCCGCCGTATTTTATCCTCGTTCCTGTTCCCGGATGTTTTTTTTTTTTTTTTTTTTTTTTTTTTTTTTTATTCGAGTGCCTATTGCGGTAGTTTACATTTTCAGCGTTATTAATCACAGCGTTATTATGATTATGGTAATACGAGAAAGATTAGGTCTCGTGATATGATTAATTGCATCAAAAGAACAGTATGAATAGTAAATGATAAATAATGATTTGAAACAAAAACTTAATGATAACAATAATGAACAGTCAGTATAATTAAAAAAAAAAACATTACTCCTCTCCAAATTACAATCATGGCTATTGTAACGAGAGAACTAGTGACAAAAGGCCGGTTTGGTAAACATTGCGCGAGGCCCGACCCAATACAGACATGCATGTACACAAATTGAATACATTTATATCTAGACATGCATACCTATCGCTTAAACAGATAGATAAATGTATATCTATCAGATCGATGAACAGAAATGCATTTATTTTTGTGTATATGGATGTCCGTACATATGAATATTCATTGGGTCGGGCCTCATACAATTTTAACAAACTGATCATTGCCTCACACAATGCTAACATACAATTCTTACATACAATTGTTTTTAACATACAATTATTTCCAACATAGAATTATACAATTCTAACATACAATTCTTACATACAATTATTTTTTAACATACAATTATTTCTAACATAGAATTATACAATTCTAACATACAATTCTAACATACAATTCAAACATACAATTCTAATATACAATTCTAATATACAATTCTAACATACAATTCTAACATACAATTCAAACATACAATTCTAATATACAAATGAAATCACAATTAAATACAATTCTAACATTTACAACAATTCTAAATACAATTCTAAATACAATTTAAACATACAATTAATTATACAATTCAACATACAATTCTAAATACAATTGATACAATTCTACAATTTCTAACATACAAACATACAATTCTAACATACAATTCTAATATACAATTCTAACATACAATTCTAACATACAATTCTAACATACAATTCTAAAATACAATGCTAACAAACTGATCATTGCCTCACACAATCATTGCCTCACACAATCATTGCCTCACACAATTCTAACAAACTGGTCTAACATGTTCACGTCTGATATTAACGATGACTTTTTCTCCTTCAGCCACGGGACGAGGTGCGCCGGCGAGGTGTCTGCGGCCCGAGACAATGGGGTCTGTGGCGTCGGCATCGCGTACGACTCTCTGGTTGCAGGTAAGTGCACGATAGGTCCTTCCTGGCAGCTCCGTCTCTTTATAAGTGTGGATAGATAAGTGTGTATTTGCTTCCCTCTTCATACAAGTAGTTGCGTCTGACTTATTGGTATGGTCTGGCGTACTGTGGGTTTACCTTCTCGGCTTTACTACTGTGCCTTACGTACTGTGGGTTTACGGTACTCCCTTCTCGTCCTGTCGTACTGTACCTTCTCGTCTGACGTACTGTGGGTTGTCCCTGTGGGTTTACCTTCTCGTCGTGAACTGTACTTGTGGGTTTACCTTCTCGTCTCGTCACGTACTGTGGGTACCTTCTCGTCTGGTACTGTGGGTTTACCTTCTCGTCTGGTACTGGGTTTACCTTCTCGTCTGACGTACTGTGGGTGGCCTCCTTCACGTCTGACGTACTGTGGGTTTACTTACGTACTGTGGGTTTACCTTCACGTCTGACGTACTGTGGGTTTACCTTCACGTCTGACGTACTGTGGGTTTACCTTCTCGTCTGGTACTGTACCTTCACGTCTGACGTACTGTGGGTTTACTTCTCGTCGACGTACTGTGGGTTTACCTTCACGTCTGACGTACTTGTGGGTTTACTTCACGTCTGACGTACTGTGGGTTTACCTTCTCGTCCGACGTACTGTGGGTTTACCTTCACGTCTGACGTACTGTGGGTTTACGTCTGACGTACTGTGGTTTACCTTCTCGTCTGACGTACTGTGGGTTTACCTTCTCGTCTGACGTACTGTGGGTTTACCTTCTCGTCTGACGTACTGTGGGTTTACCTTCTCGTCTGACGTACTGTGGTTTACTTCTCGTCTGACGTACTGTGGGTTTACCTTCTCGTCTGACGTACTGTGGGTTTACCTTCACGTCTGACGTACTGTGGGTTACCTTCCGTTGACGTACTGTCGTCACGTACTGTGGGTTTACCTTCACGTCTGACGTACTGTGGGTTTACCTTCACGTCTGACGTACTGTGGGTTTACCTTCTCGTCTGACGTACTGTGGGTTTTACCTTCACGTCTGACGTACTGTGGGTTTACCTTCTCGTCCGACGTACTGTGGTTACCTTCACGTCTGACGTACTGTGTTTACCTTCACGTCTGACGTACTGTGGTTTTACCTTCTCGTGACGTACTGTGGGTTTACCTTCTCGTCTGACGTACTGTGGTTTACCTTCTCGTCTGACGTACTGTGGGTTTACCTTCACGTACTGTGGGTTTACCTTCTCGTCTGACGTACTGTGGGTTTACCTTCTCGTCTGACGTACTGTGGGTTTACCTTCTCGTCTGACGTACTGTGGTTTACCTTCTCGTCTGACGTTACTTGTGGGTTTTCCTTCTCGTCTGACGTACTGTGGGTTTTCCTTCTCGTACTAACCTTCTCGTCTGACGTACTGTGGGTTTACCTTCTCGTCAACTACTTCTCGTCTGACGTACTGTGGTTTACGTCCACTGTGGTGGGTTTACCTACTGTGGGTTTACCTTCTCGTCTGACGTACTGTGGGTTTACCTTCTCGTGCAACTCTACTACCCACAAAGACGCAGGAGCTAAGCCACAGTGAATTACACATCAAACAGCTGATCACTACAGTCAACCCCCCACTAGAAAGCCCTCGACGAGCCACAAACGAGAGCGCAGCCACCCACGAGCGCCATAGAGAACACACACACAAGTAGAGGATAGTTAATTACACGTCACGACTTCGTACCTACCACGTCATTTATTGATCACGGGAGACAGGTGCCGGGAGATCCCAGCCGAGTCCCGGAGCCTCACGACCTACATAAAGCGGGAAATGAGCTTTCTACACCTAATGGCGGAGCTCGTCTTTTATTTTATTTTATTTTATTATTATTATTTTTTTTTAGGGGAGAGGGGGATTCCTTGGTAGATAATTCCCGCATGTGTGGTTTATTTGTTTTTATTTATTTATTTATTTATTTATTATTATCATTTTTTTTGGGGGAGGGGATTCTTAGGTAGATAATTCCCGCATATGTGGCCGATTTTTTTTTTTTTTTTTTTTTTTTGGGGGGGGAGCCTTTGGTAGATATTCCCTGCATATGTGGTTTATTTTTTCAAGGGGGAAGGGAGATTCTTTGGTAGATATTTCCCGCATATGTGGTTTATTTTTTCAAGGGGGAGGGGGATTCTTTGGCAGATATTTCCCGCTGGTTCATTTTATACATAGTGACATAGTTTTGGTGGGATAGTTTTGGCTGTGGGTACGAAGGATTGGGCGCGAGAATTAGTTTTGTTTTGTAGTTCGTACTGTGTTCCGACTCTGAAGTTTATGGTATGTGATCAACAACGCGTTAATTCTGCCCAAAACCGATTGCATAAACCCTGATCGTTACACATACGGATGCTTCTGCCCGCACCACTTGATACGTACACGCAGATGTTTCCACTTGCACAGATGAGTACATGTGCCCTGGCGCTTGGCACGATCGATTCCCGGAGCCTGGCCCTTCAGAGCGTTCAGACTTTCATCTAAATCCACCTAAACTCATTAATGATTTCACCTAAATCCACTTAGATTCATGAATAATAACTATATCTGAATATTCATATAAACGCTCTTCTCCAAACCCATATATGATAATTAATAAATTCACCGATATTTCACCCAAAACTACTTATCCTCATGATTGGTTTCACCCAAAACACTTAACCTCATAGATAATTTGACCCAAAACCCTTAACCTCATTGATAATTTCACTCCAAACCACTTATCCTCATGAATAATTTCACCCCAAACCCCTTAACCTCAGGAGTCATTTCACCCAACGTCACTCACCCTCATGAAAACAACCTCACCAAAACCCACTCCACCTCCGGAGTAATTTCACCCACCACCACATAACCTCATAAAAAAACGATCCCACCCAAAACCCCACAACCTCCACATCCACATAAAACCCACAACCTCCACATAAAACCCCACAACCTCCACATAAAACCCCACAACCTCCACCCCCACAATTCCACATAAGACAATCACCCCACATAACCGCCTCCCCTTCTCTCCCAACCCAGGAATTCGCATGTTGGACCAGCCCTACATGACGGATCTGATCGAAGCCAACAGCATGGGACATGAGCCGAACCTCATACACATCTACTCGGCCTCATGGGGACCTACTGACGATGGGAAGACTGTGGACGGACCGAGGAACGCTACCATGAAGGCAATTGTGAGGGGAGTTAATGAGGTAAGGGAATGAGGAGAGAGAGGAAGAGAGAAAGTAAGAGTGGAGGACGGAGAGAGAGAGAGAGAGAGAAAGAGAGGGCGTGGGGGGGAGGGAGGAAAGAGAAAGAGAGAGGGGGGTAAGAATGGGGGTCAGAGAGAGGGGGAAGGAGAGAGGAGAGAGAGAGAGAGAGAGAGAGAGAGAGAGAGAGAGAGAGAGAGAGAGAGAGAGAGAGAGAGAGAGAGAGAGAGAGAGGGGGGGAGAAGAGAGAGAGAGAGAGTAAGAATGGGGACAGAGAGAGAGAGGGGGAGGAGAAAGAAAAATGAAGAACAGAAAGACAAAGAGAGAAAGAGAGAGGGCGGAAAAGGGAGACAGATAGAAGCGAGACGAAAGGAAGAGACAGAGAGAAAAGGAGAGAGGGGTAAGGACAGAGACAAAAGAAAAAAGAGGAATGGGGAAAGAGAGACAGAGGGAAAGAAAGGCGGGGACAGAGAGTAAACAGAATGAGAGAAGGGAAAGAGAGAAAGGAAGAGAGGAAAAGAGGTAAAGTAACAATATGTCAAAGAAAATACGGAATAGAAAAATAAAATGAAAGAAAGAGCATCATAGAGCATCATCATCCTCATTACTATTATCATCATTATTTTATTGCTATTATTGTTATTATCATTATCTAATGGTATCATTGTATCCATAATAGCAAATACCTTTATCATTATTATTATCATTATTATTGTTATTGTCCTCATAATTATTATTATTATCATTGTTTTTTATCATTACCATTTTTATTGTCATCCTGATTATTGTTATTGTTATTATAGTCAGTAGTAGTAGTATCATTATCATTATTATTACTATCAGCTTTGTCATTATCATTATTATCATTATTGTTTTTATTGCAACCATTATCATCAATATTATTTTATCATTATCATCATTTTCGCTATCGTCATCTCTCATTTTTTTTATCTATTCAGTCTTTTAATTTCTTATTTTTTTTTTTCCAATCTCCATTTTAAAAATCAAATCTATTAATAACAATCTGCTTTGATATTTCATACGTCAAACCTGTCCTCCAAACGGATGTTACGACCCAAATTTTCCCTAATATTTTCGGCAGCTACAAATATACGAATATATATATATATTTTCTTATATATATATATATATATATATATATATATATATATATATATATATATATATATATATGTTTTCTTCCAAATCGTACAGCGTGACTTTATAAAGTAATTCCATTTTTTAAGAAGAGGGGAGAGGGGCATAAACCTTTTCAAAAAAGCGTACAGACGAAATTATTTGGAATTTAGTCAAAATAGGCTACGTAATTGGCTTACAAAAGACGATAAGGGGTTTCTCTCTCTGTCTCTGGCTCGTTAGCTCGCTCTTCCTCTCTCTGTCTGTCTATCTCTTTCTATATGTATGTCATTTTGTCTGTATGTCTGTCTGGCTCTGTCTATCTGTCTATCTATTTATCAGTTCATCTATCTATCTGTATCTATTCATCTAGCTATCTATCTGTATCTCTTTCTATCTATCCTTCTATCTGTCTGTCTGTCAATCTATCTATTTTTCTATCTATCTATCTATCTATCTATCCATCCATCTGTCTAGCTGTCTATCTGTCTGGCAGTTTATATATCTATATACCTATCTATCCATCTACCTTATTTATTTATCTGTCTATCTACATATATATATATATATATATATATTATATATATATATATATATATATATATATATATATATATATATATATATATATATATATATTTATATCTGCCTATATATCTTTATCTATCGATTGATCTATCCATCTTTCTATCTGTCTGTCTATCTACCTAGCCCAGTCTATCTAGCGCTCTCTATCTCAATTCACGTCCGCCTATCTATCTATCTCTCCCACAAACTTTCGCTTACACACTCTCTCTCCATCTCTCTCTCGTTCTCTCTCCTTCGTACTCCAGACGTTGGAAAAATAAACGGAAAATAACTTTGTCGTACAACTCTGACTTATTGCAGTTTATTGAAACCGGGTTTGGGAGGTTGCTTATCAACTTAGGAGCGAAGTAAGTCTTGCAAGTTGTGTAATTTGGCCAGATTACGATCGTGTCACGGTTCGCCTTCTTCTCAGTGTTTCTTTTTCTTCTTTTTCTTCTTCTCTTCTTTTTTCTTTCTTTTCTTCTTCTTCTTCTTTTTCTTCTTCTTCATCTTCTTCTTTTCTTTTCTTCTTTTCATCTTCTCCTTCTTCTTCTTCTTCTTCTTCTACTTTTTATTTTTTAGCGTTCGAAAACTGTATATTTGTTTTCCTGTTTTGTTATTGGTACGGTAGTTTATTAAATTATAAAATTAGTGTTAACGTTTATAGAAAAGGAACATTTGGTTTTACTGTTACGAGGTTACGGTCATGCAACGGTGCGCTTAACGATCGTCTTATATTTTTCTTCTATTTCTTTTCCTTTCTTAAATCGTTCGAAATCTACAACGATTGCATTTTGTTTTTGGTATTATTCTACGAAAACCCTTTTTGTATTCATATATATTTATTTTTAGTCTGGGTCCGCCAATTCATTTAAGTGTTGAAATGTGTAACAAAATAGACACATTTGGTTTTACTTTGCTGCGAGATTACGACCGTGGCATGATGGTGCGCTTTACGACTTTTTTTTTTTATCTTCGTCTTTTCTCTTCCACAATTCGTTCGGAAAGCGTCTCATTAGTAAACGTATTTAGATCAGCTCTTTATATTCTTTCCTAAATTAGACCAAATTCATCTTGATATCATGATCGTTTTTATCATTATTATAATTATTACTATTATTATAATCATTATGATTATTATTATCATTTGGAGGAGTCATGATATCAGCTTGCCTTTCCCTTCGTCGAATTGCGCAAAACTAAGACAATGACTTATTTAGGGTCTTATAACCGGCAACAACTTATTCAGGAACTTCTAGAGCATTTGAAGCCTTTGCCACCGGATATTGGCGCTAATAACATGACTGTTTCGGTAACTCTTCCAAACGACTTTATCTAATCGTCCGGCTCTCAGCCTCCTTCTGAAGTTTGTAGCGGAGGGAAAGAGAGAGAGGGAGCGAGGGAGGGAGGGAGGGAGGAGGAGGGAGGAGAGAGAGAGAGAGAGAGAGAGAGAGAGAAGAGAAAGAGAAAGAAAGAGAAAAGAGAGAAGAGAGAAAGAGAGAGAGAGAGAGAGAGACGCAAAAGAAAAAAAGAAAAAAAAAGATAAAGAAAGAAAAGAGAAAGAGAAAACACAAGCCAAACAAAAAATAAAAATAAAAGAGACATCCAAACACACCGACACAGCCACACAAACAAACCAAACCAAACCCCCTCAGACCGGAGCCCTAACGCCACCCCCTCCCCCTCCCTTCCCCCAGGGTCGCAACGGCCTCGGGAACATCTACGTCTGGGCCTCTGGCGACGGCGGCGAGGACGACGACTGCAACTGCGACGGCTACGCGGCCTCCATGTGGACCATCTCCATCAACTCCGCCATCAACGACGGCTCCAACGCCCACTACGACGAGTCCTGCTCCTCCACCCTCGCCTCCACCTTCAGCAACGGAGCCAAGGACCCCAGCACAGGCGTGGTGAGTCGGGGGTTGGGGGGGGGTTGTTGTGGGTTGGGGGTTGTGGGGTACTATGGGTTGGGGAGGGGGTTGTGGGTTAGGGTGGGTGAGTCGGGGGTTGGGGTGGGGTTGTTGTGGTTGGGGTTTGGGGAGTGGGGTTTGGGGTGTTGGGTTAGGGGTCTGTTTGGGTGGGGTTGAGGGTTGGGATGGAGTGGGGGTCGTAGGTCGTGAGTCGGAGATCAGCGTTCAGATCGTAAGTCATTAGCCGTGAGTTATAATGTCAGGGTGAACACTGCTAATTCGATACTTTACCACTTGCTCCGCTGCAGTGTGGGTAAGTGAGCACGTTGATGACAGTACTAAATAATATAACCCGATAAAACAGTAATTAAATACTAATAAATAAATCATAATGATAATGGATAATAATAATGATAATAACCACAATAACATAATAAAATGAATAACGATAACATTAATAATATAAGGCAACAATGATAGTAAACAACAATGAATATAATAATTAATAATAACAGTGATAATAAATGATAATGGTAAAACGACACAATAGATGATATATACATAATACTATGATAAATACTATATAATATATAAATAATGATATACTATATATGAATACTATATAACATATAATGATATATATATATAATATATATATAATATATCTAATATACTATATACACTACCATGATAATAACATACCCTATCGCCACACAGGCTACAACGGACCTCTACGGAAAGTGCACGAAGACCCACTCAGAACCTCCAGCTGCAGGCTGCAGGAGTCTTCGCCCTAAGCCAGTAAGAGGGGGAGGAGGGATGGGGTTCGGAAAGAGGTGCGGAAGGGGAACAAGAGGGATGGGGTTGGGGATAGAATGGGTAGGATAAAGAGGAGAAAAAAGGGGAGGAAAGGCGGCGGGGGAGAAGGGAAGGAGGAATGTGGGTGGGTAGGGAGGAGGGAGAAGGGAGAGAGGGTGGGTAGGAAGGGAGGAAGAGATGGAGGAAAGGAGAAGGAGTAAGAGAAGTGAAAGGAGAGAAAAAGAGGGTAATAAGAAACGGAAAATGAGAAAGAAGAGGCATAAACAGAGAGGAGAGAAAAGACAGGAGAGAAAGAACTAAATCTAACGATTCTCTCCTCATTCAACCAACCAATCAAATACATTCTTTCCTTCTAAACATTCTCTTCATATTCATCTTTCTCCCCCTCCCTTTTAAACATTCTCTTCATATTCGTCTTTCTCCCATTCGTCTTCCTCCCCCTCCCTTTTAAAAATTCTCTTCATATTCATCTTCCTCCCCCTCATCCCTAATTCTGCGCCTCTTCCCCAGCCCCAACCTGACCTGGCGAGACATCCAGCACCTGACGGTCCTCACCAGCAAGAGGAACTCCCTCTTCGACGCCAAGCACCGCTACGACTGGCACATGAACGGCGTTGGTCTGGAATTCAACCATCTCTTCGGCTTCGGTGTGCTGGACGCGGGCGCCATGGTGGCTCTGGCTCGGGACTGGGTGACTGTCCCGCCGAGGTACCACTGCCAGGCCGGGATCTACCAGACACCCAGGTTGGTAGCGGGTCCTGGGGGCCGGTTCGTCGGGAGCTCCGGTATTCGTCTGGTGGTTTGGAGTTTGATGGGGTCGCGTGTTTAGGAAGGGGACAGGGAGAGTAATAGTGCGAGAGAAAGGGGGGAGGGAGGCAGAAAAAAGAGAAAAAGGGAAAGAAATTGAGAGGTAGATTATTATTGTCTTTTTTTCTGCGCATGACCTTCACAGGTAATGCGTGAGAGATAGAGAAGGGGAGACAATTGATTACTTTGGTGCCAACAAGCGTCCTCACGCCCAACCCACAGATGACATTGTACCTTTCACAGTGACTTTTGACGGTCCAATTAACAGTATTCCATTTCACTGAGACAGGTGTTTCATCTTACAAAAAGAGTGTTTTATGAATTAAAGGTCTGATCTATTACCCTACCCAGTAAAACTACATATCAAATCGTTTCTTGGACCAACAACCCAATAAAAGTAATTTCGTGCATCTTCTTTTCGAGGTAAATCAGAAGGCATTTTACATTGAAATATATTTTCTTAGCTAATTTTGGGACATTTGTAAAATGATAGACATTTTGGCTTCAAATATATATATATTTTTAAAATAATAACATTATCTAAAAATAATTGGTCAAAGTTTTACTCTGCATATTTAAAACGCATAAACTAAGCCAACATTACAAAACACAGCAGCCAAACAAGAATCCCAAAGTCCCCATCAATACCCCCAAAGGCAGAGCGCATCCCCCCTCCCCCCCCCCCCCAGGGCCCCCACGCCCTAACAGCCTCCCCGGCCTCCCCCCCAACAGGAAGATCAGCGTGAACGAAACCATCGAAATCAAGATCGAGACGGACGCCTGCGCCTGGAGCGACACCGAGGTCAACTACCTGGAGCACGTGCAGGCGGTCATCACCCTCAACGCCAGCAGACGCGGCGACGTGGAGCTCTTCATCGTCTCGCCGATGGACACCAAGTAGGTCCTGCTTGGCTGTGTAGGGGAGGCATGGGAGGAGACGCACACGTGAATGCGCACACATACACACACGCGTGTATGCGTGTATGGAGATAGATAGGTAGATAGATAGATAGATAGATGGTTACACAGATAGATAAGATATATATGTATATATATGTGTGTGCATGTGGATAGAGATAGATAGATAGGTAGATAGATGGTTAGACAGATAGATAAGATATATATGTATATATATGTGTGTGTGTGTATACATACGAATATATATATGTGTGTGTGTGTGTGTCATCCATTGGCAGTGTGGGATTTGAGCGCAGATCAGTAAGATTACTAAACGAGAACGCTGCAGCTGCACCAAATAAGTATTTTGTATAATGCAGCGGTAGCGATCTCGTCTACCAATCTTGACCTGCGTCCAAAGCCCACACTGCCAATGGATGGTAACCACGCCATTCCTTGCACACAGAGGCTAATTTAGTTTTGTCAGTCATACAAAACTTGAAGTTACTATCCTTATTATCATCACACACACACACACAAACAAACACACACACGCACACACACACACACAAACAAACACACACACACACAAGCAAACACACACACACACAAACAAACAAACAAACAAACAAACAAACAAACACACACACACACACACACATACACAGTCATTATATAGATACACTAGCCCTGATTCGTGCATATTCATACTTCCTTGTAGATGAGTAAGATTCTTGCAAAACATACATCATCTTACAAAGTCTTCTTTCCATATAATTCTCATTACTTTGCTACACGAATAAGCGTATCGAGTTACATACATAGTTATGAAAAGTTATACCGGGAAGATGAAATGGAGAACCCGGAGGTTTATTTTGGCGCTTCTTGTAATGGTTATGAGTTTTGTAAGTGCGTGTGTTTGTGATGATAAGGACAATGATGATAATAATGATGATTATGATGATGATGATGATAATGATGATAATGTCAATGATATAATTAGTTATAGTGATAATGATAATGATTATGATAATAATAATAATAATAATAATATAATATAAAAATATAATAATAATAATATAATAATAATAATAATAATAATAATAATAATAATAATAAACAATAACAACAATGCTAATTTAACAATAAACAAAGAAATACACAAAAACAATAACACCCTCCCCCCCCCTTCTCCCCCCCCCCCCAGGTCATGATCCTGAGCAGGCGGCCGAACGACGACGACTCCCGGGACGGTTTTACGAAGTGGCCCTTCATGACCACCCACACCTGGGCGAGAACCCCCGGGCACCTGGAGGCTCATGGTAAGGGCACCGGGGGGTTGGGGGGGGGGGGATGGGAGGGGTTGGGCGGGGGGTGGGGTGGGGTGGAAGGAGACCACTGAATGCGCGTGTTTGTGGTGGTTTTGGTGTGATTGGGGATGATGGGTGAAGATGGGTGGTGATTGGTGATGATTAGGGATGGATGATTAGTGAAGATGGGTGGTGATTGGAGTTGACGTGCTGATTGGTGATAACTTGGATGAAGTGAGGTGGGTGATGACTTGCTATGATCAGTGATGATTGGGATGATGACTTTGTGATGATCAATGAAGATTGGTATGAGTATATGGAGGCTTGTGAAATGGATTAAGATTATTTTTAAGAAATATATAAATTTAGTTTGTATGATGAGAAAAATGTGATTTTGATAAGCAAAAAATATGGAGATATGATAATGATAAATGATAAAATGTAATTAGATTATTTTGAGGTTTGACATGTCAAAAAACAAGCTAAAATAATGTGAGTGAAGTTAGGATACATGATAAATGAATAACGGTTCCTATCGTGTGTGTGTGTGTGTGTCTGTGTGTATGTGTGCGTGCGTGTTTTGTGTTGTATTTGCTTTTATTATGTGTGTTGTTGATGCTTATTTTAGGCACACATTATGTTTCAATACCACCTCTGAGCACATTATTTACGGAAGACTACTAACCAGACACTCCTATTTTCTCATCCCCTCTCCTCTCTCCCGTCCGCTCGCCCCTTCTCCGACACCTGCCCATATTTCAGCTCCCCACTCTCCCGTTCCCTTCACTCTCAAACGCGCGGCTTATTCCCCCTTCTCTTACACGCGCCGCTTCGCCTCATTTCCCTTCCTCCACTTGCTCCCCCAGGCCTGCCCCTTACCCAGACCTCCCTTCTCCGCTTCTGCCTCCGCCTGCCCTCGGGCTCCTGTCGCAGTCACGTTGCCGTTCTCGATCCTCCGCGGCCTACCACGAGAACCCCTATTGGCCGTTGCTGCCCCTCACCAGCAACTCTTCTCCTCCGCCTTAATCCACCGTTCTTCCCTACCGTCTGCCCTTTCACTCTCCCGGCCTCCCCATCTGTCCCGCTAACACTCGTCCCTCACTACTTCCTCCCACTTCACCCCGGCCTCGCCTTCTCCCTCTCTTGCCCTTCACCGCTTCCAGCCCCCGCGCCTCCCACCTCTTCTTCCCCTACGCTCGTCCTACCACCTTCCTCCTGCCTCCCCTTCTCTCCCCCTGACTGATTAGGGCTCCCCTGCATTCCCCCTACCCTCTCCTCCACTACCTTCCCCAACTGCCCTCGATCCTTCCTCCTGCCCCGGCGCCTCCCCCTCTTGGCGACCCTGCCCTTCCCGCTTCCTCCTACTCCCCCCGCCTGAACGCCTTCCCCTTACACTCTCCTTCCCTCTCCATTCGCTCCGACTCTACCCTTCCTCCCACCTTCCTCCCCGACCTGCCCCGGAGTCCACCCTCTCTCCCTTCCACCTTACCTCCCCCTAACCCTACCCGTTCATCCCACAGGCGCCTTCACCCTCTCACCCCTGCTCTCTAAATTCCTTCCTCCAACGCTCCCGAATGCGCCTGCCCTTCCCTCTGATCACCCCTGCCCCTCATTAGATTTCTCCTTCCACATTTCTCCTCCCGCTCTACCCCTTCTCGTGTGACCCACTGCAGCCCATTCACACGCTAGTACGACCTCTCGCTTGCCCCTTCTTCCGCCAATACCCTTTGACAGTGTAGACGCACGCCCCCGTACCTTCTCCTCGCTCTACTCAACTTCCTTAGTCCATCCTCATCCTCCCCCCTCTCATGCCCCTCCTCCTAGCCTTCCTCCGTCGCAGGCGCGGTCCTTGAATGCGCGAGACGGACCGAGGAGGAGCTGGATAAAAGGGAATGGGACCTAGATAAGCTCCACGGGACACGCGAGGAGCCCTACGCCCACCTGCCCGTCAAGGATCCTCACTCGAAACTCGCCATTGTCAAGAAAGCGCATCAGGACAAGAAGATTTAGGAACACACCAAGATTACTTGCTTGAAGAATCATATTTTTTTGAGAGAGAGAGAGAGAAGGAAGAAAAAAAGATATATATTATGATCTGTTATATTCAACTCCCTGACGAACAACAAAAGAAAAGAAAAAGAAAAAGATATGTACTGTATTGATTTTAACAATTGGATACTGGAAGATGAATTATAAGTTAGAAAAAGAATATATAGATATGATGATAACATAGAGGACTAAGATTAAAATCTCCGAAAATAAATGAAATCTCACTAACGATCAGGGTGACTCAGCAGGCATTATAGATGGTTGATTTGATTTGATTTCTTCTTCTCTTCTTTATCTTCTTCCTCTTTTTCTCCGAGGGATTGGTCCCAATCAAGCCTAGCGCGTGGTAGGCCCCACTGAAATAGTCCCCAGCCCTACTCCAGTGGGGCCTTCGCTAGCAGGGACCCCCGAAGGCCCTCGTCTCCCGATGCTTCCGTTTTCTGTGTCCTGTGTCAACCTTCCCGTTTTCTAAATCCTGTGTCAGCCTTTTCCGTTTTCTATATCCTGTGTAAACCTTTCCGTTTTCTATATCCTGTGTCAACCTCTGAGAAATACGCAGACTCTCAGAAATAGAATGGAGATCAGTTTTTAGTATAGAGGTATAACAAAAAATCAGTAAAAAATCAATAAAAAAAGGAAGACAAAAATCCTGTTTTATTTTTGGATTTTAGATGAGAATGCTCTGTTAGTACAGTATAAATATATATATATAAATACATATAAATGAGTAGTCATTCCACGTTATCGTAATGTTCAAACATTCTCTTGATGTAGAAGTCACTTTGGTTCTAATAGTATATATATATCTATATATATATATATATATATATATATATATATATATTATATTATATATTATATATAATATATATATATATATATATATATATATATATATATATATATATATATATATATATTATATATACCCATATCTTATTTTGACGAATTACACATCTCTCCTCTTGTATGCCTGTAGAATCCAAAATTTATTTGTGGTTTAAGCTCAAAAACGACTCGTCTCTCATTTTCCTGTGCACTCGTTGCGAACATCAGCCAGAATTCTCGCATGAGGTTATATGCCAAAATTTGACGGATCAGGAAAAGGACTTTAAGAACAAACAAACAAAGTATCTTCAACATGACTGAGCAAAATATCATGAGTTCTTCACACAAGTTTTCGCTTACAAACACTATACGTTTCATTTTCATTTTATATCTGTTCATGTCTTTTCGTTCAGGTCGTAAGTCATTTCCCTGAATCCTCGTATTCCAAAATGGTCTTGTGTGATGACCTGTGGAGAAGATGACCTGTTTCTCAGTCCGTCTGGTGATATGTCAAGTTCTAACAGCGCGAAGAGTAGAAAAAGTCATTATTCTAGAGCCAGCTCGATACATCATAGTTACACTGACATAATATGAGCTTTGTTTAGTCTTCCTCCTGTTTAAGTTATTGTTTTTCGTCCTTCTTCCTTCATTCTGTTTTGTAGTACTGGAGGAATATTGAAATCTGCAATCTTAGAAAGGGAACAACGTGCGAAAGCAAGAAGATAGAAGAAAACAAAACAAAAATATAAATATATATATAAACAACTACAATATCAATTTCTTTTTGATATTGGTCCCCATATGATAGACTTTACCATCCGTGTTTACTATATTTTTTCCGCATTGTGTGTATTCTGCCATGTTATATTCTGTTGAATCTACATTCTGCTTACCCGATAAGTCAGTATTAATATTCACTCCGTAAAGTTCCATAGTGATATAGTTTGGGCCGTTTAGAGACCAAGGGCGTAGAACTTCTGCGAAGCCCTCTGGGCTCTAGGACGTGGCCGATCGCCTCACAAGCATTCTAAATCTATTGTAACCTGTATCCTACTATATATACCTCAATACCTATCTATTCCTTCTTTAGTATTGTGTATGACAATAAGTTTGTTAGATCAAGATATACATTAATTACAAGACAAATGTTTATAATAATAACAAAAATAATGATAAAAATAAATATATATAGTGGATTTGCATGAACATAATAATATAATACACTCTCACTTGGTGTAGATAATTTATCTCGATTTCTCCTGGTAAGATCATTGATATTTTTGATTTAACTGTCGATTAAATTTTTTCATACTTTTTTATCACTTATCAGACACATACGAAGTACCAAATTAGCTTTCTTTAATTATGCATAGTTTTTAGTAGAACTACAGTTCCGATTTATTGGCTATGCGTCGTCTTGATACAAATGAGACAGAGAGAGAATAGTAGTGAATTGAGAAGAAGAATATGTCTCGACTTTTAGTACACTACTAGGGTTTCTCTTTGTAGTTCTAATTCTTGTTCCCGGTATCAGCTTTGAGGAACCCTTCCTATGTTAATGGTGCTCATGAATATCAGTCGTACAATACAATATACCTTTTGTAATTAAGTTATAACTGTATAGTATATTCATTAGTTTATTATTAGTAACTGTATAGTTGTATTACAGAACATAATCATTAATCTAATAATGTATATAATGAGTATTAGAATTATAATAGTCGATTTGTTATTAATACTATATATCACTTATGTATATACTTACGTACATACATATAAATGTATACTATATATTAATAGTATATTAATTATATATATGGTAAAATACTTATTTTGGTTAATATACATACGGTAAACAGATATAATATATATACAACATATAATATAGTAGGGGTTATTAATAAATTTTGCGCTCTTGAACATATCAATCTGGAATTATTGATCTTGAGCATAGTAGCGGTTTTGGATAACTGATACATTGCCATGATACTTATAGCTAACAAGCCACAATATGCAAACTTAATCCGGGGGGAGGGGGTTCTCTCAAATAGTATTAACTCTCTAGGGGTTGCGATTGAGGATAATAGTCGCTCACAATGTATCGCTTCGGATGACAGTGTATTAAATATTACACGTGTTTTGCTTGTTGATTTATTCAAATACAGAGACACTTTCCTCTCTGGAGCGCGATGGGATCGGCTACGCCGACGAGCAATCACCCAGTAGGGCGATCCACTTCTCCCCTGCGCAACTTTGGACAAACCACAGGGAATGATCGTTTGAGACAATTCGCGCAGCGTGACCCATTGCCGAGAACACCCTTGCCCGGCACACTGACTCGGATGAAGGCAACAGTAACTTGTTGCATAATTGATGCAGGCGAGGCATCTCTTTTGCATGCAAAAAAAACAACATTAGCGCTATAACTGGGTTACGCTTAGGCCTTCCGGTAACTAACCTTTTGCTAGAGTCGATACGACTGAGACAGTTTTCTTTCGTGACCATCTTCCGCTGTTACTCCAATATAGCTGAAGCCAAATTTTGTTCGCTCAGTTCGCTAGAAATACCATGTAACACCCGGCTGAGTACAAAAATGATTCGGGCGTACTGTTGTTGCGTTTCTCACATAAACTTCGAAACAATGCCTTATCACTATAATCACAGCCCTTCTTTATATGATATAGCAATAATTCAAGTATGATTAATGATCATGTCAACACGTACTGATACAATAATTAGGTGCGCATATGAATTTTGAGAAGTCTAAGCACATTCCGATGGATATATTTGGTCTCTCGAAACAGCACATCATGCTCTCGTTAAATTTCAAAATGATAACTGAATACTAATGGGATCAACCCTCATTACAGAGGCGTAATTCGTGTATTCCACTGGTCAGTGACTGTGAGTTTTACTCTGCAACATTAAATTTAACATGTCATTTTCATATGAAATTAGCAATGGTCGTATGGATAATGTATAATTAAGCATATGCCTACTATAGGTATTTTGTCGATGATGGTTTACATGTAGAGTCTTAATACTCTTATGATATCTACAGATGAGTGCGATAACATATTGTGACGTACAAAGCACAGCACGCGCAAATGATAGAACGAGAAAAACCGTGGAGCCACTCTTAGATCGTAGGCAAGACACACTCATCTACATCTATCGTTTCATGTTATTTGTATGCATATTGTTCAATGTTTATATGTCTTTATTGTTCTCGCAGTACGTAGTCTTCACATATATATCTAGAGTTATCGGTTAGCGTTTGGAAGTAGGGTATATATTATCAACATTTTATAATTATTATATTAAATATAGGCCCAATTATATAGTCAATATTGGATATAGATGTTGTGTGGTGGTTGTGTGTGTTGTGTAGTCGTGTGCTGTGTGTGTGTGTAGATGTGGCTTGTACACTCACTCACACGCACGCGCACACACACCTCACTACCACGATATTAACTAGTAAGTGACCTCAAATATTAAGAGAATTTATTGGTTTATTACTATCTGTGCTACATAATCTTTAACTACTGGCGTAAGTATAGGATTTATGCTTGGATAATTTGGTATCTGGGTTGATTTAATTATATATTAATATATTTATTATATTACTATATTTGTATATTGTATATTTCTAAGTGGGTAGTAGTGTTAATATTTGGTTTATTTCTGCTTATTCTATAATTTTTTGTTTCGACACCGTATTGTTTACTTATATTTTTTATCGCCTTTCCTTTATAAGATAACGTAAATGTATTCAATTGCTATTACATGGCTATATAGGGAAACAATACGTATGGGCTTATTTATCGCTTTGGTCATACAATTATGTTTTATTGGTATGTTGTGTAGATTAACGTATGTATTTGTATGTTTCATTCGTTTTGTATATTTTTTTTCATCTCGTTAGATTTTCACCGATTTTATATTTTTATTTGTGCTGAGCTTGTCTCTGGGTGCAATAACGTATGTGTATTGAATAAACTGGTAAAATGCCGTAAAAGGTATGATTCTAATGGTAAAATAAGACTATCTTATGGAAGCGCAATGTGTTGCTCTGGGCGCATATGTATGGATGTAGGGATAGACCGTGATGATATAGATCATATAGGTTAGGTGGGGTGTCTTAGTCTTAATTCCTTTTTTTCATAATAGCTATTACATCTGTACATTAGTTTATTTAGTCTATTTGGGATTTATATAACATTTTGTCTAAGTTCTCAGTCACTCTCTTACATCTTTGTTTGTTTGTTAATGGGAGTCATGGTTTTGTTTTTCGATGAGAACATACTTAGACAATATAATGGGGTATAAATAGCTTTTTCTAAGCGCTTTTACTCGTATCTGTTAAACTTCGCTAGTTTATTGAACTTGACATAATATCATCTATACAGTAATAGGTAGACTCTAGGGTATGAAATGTGGATGTGGTTATCATAGTGTTAGTACTTATAATACTTATATAATGTATATTAAATACTTAGGTTACTATAATATTCTACATTAATAATCATAAACCATTATTATGTTATATGGAATATACGATAGGATTATTACAGTATGGAATAATTATAGTTAATACTTATACGATCCTGAACGTAAAAGACATTAATATCTAGTTAGATATGTATATATATTATAAATTATTATATAGAAAATGATATAGTTACGTAATTAATAAGTTGAGTTTCAGTATTTAATTATAAGTGTGGGTCGTAATATATTAGATATAAAATATTCAGTTTGTTGTGAGAAATATGAATTATTATATTATATATAAGTATTATTATATTATGGCTTGTATGTATATATAAGGTATTACTTATAATTATTGTAGTTATGTTGTTATGGTGTGATATAGTATATTGTAACATATATATACTATCTATAGATATACTATAGGTAGTAGTTTGTAATTATTATAGTTTATTTCATTATTATG